ACACCAAAGGTTCCAACCCCCAGCTGTAATTATTTCTTCTATTATATTAACAACACAATAATAAAATGATTCAAAATATTTAAGGGAGCTTTAATAAAAGCTTTTAGTGTTTATCTGCTATCTCAACAGTAACGATTCAAACAGTATAAAGTTTTTTGAAAAAAAATATTAATCTGAGTATTATATTTATGATACACATTATTTTTTTAAAGATGTAACAAATTTTCAAAGGTTACAGATACTAACATTGTCGATATAGTTCGCTTATTTAATTAAAAAAAAATAAAAAATAAACTGTTTAAATATTTTTTGTTACAGAGGCAGAGGACCAATTAATATGATCCCAGTATTTAAACTACATTAATTGACTGTTTACGTTGTAGTAATAATTGCTCCAAATACTAAAAAAACTGAATTTTGTGTGTGTATTAGACAGTGGTGTGGTGTAACACCTTATAAATTTTATTTAATTTTTTGACGAATGCTTTTTTATAACAATACAGACGTTCATTTTCATGACTTATTAATATATTGATTTCTGAATTTTATTTCATTTATTGACGAATGCTTATTTATAAAAACAGACACATTCGTTTTCAGAACTTATTATTATATTGATTTCTGAGCCAAATCCACATTTATTTAGAATAATTTATTAATTAAAATAATTTAAGTTTTGGTGTTTTTGGTAAGAAATAATGGTGGTATATTTAATTGGTATACTCTTTTACAAAGATTTAAATAGTTTTTTTTGTATGCCAATGGGCTTGCAATATTTACCACCTGTTCATTTTGTACATATTACGGTGCTATAAAAAATCTGAAATGTCATTATTCCATGGGTATAGTGATAAATGAGGTCTAAATTATAAGAAAATGCATTTTCTACGAAAACTTGAAGAGAGGTAAATAATGGTATAACACAATTTGATAGACAATTACATTGTGCATCTGATTGACGTAAAATATATAGGGTGTTACATTTAAATTAAACAAGTTATTGCCGTTTAAAGCTAGTAATTATTTAATATAAATTTTTGGACACTCTGTATAAGATAGTAAAATTTTTATTATTGCAACACAATATCTTATCAATGAATAATCTTCAGTAAATATTTAATATTAAAAACTTTGATACTCTGGGAGAAATAAAGCCATAAAATTTTTACTGCAATTTCATAAAATTGAAAATATTTCAAAAACGGTAATGTTTAAGTGTGATAAACCTAAATCAAATTTACCTTTATTTCAATCGTAGAATCCAAAAATAGAATAATATACAGAGTGTTCCATTTAAAAAAATACAACTATAATATTTTTTACTTATTTGGGACACTCTGTATCTTGTAAAAATATTTTTAAATTCTAACTCTAATAGACCTCCAACGAACCCAAAAGTTACAATTTGTAAAAATCTAATCGTTTAGCTACAATACTCCGTGTCGTATGTGGTGAACAACCCTGTATAAGAGTTTCTTGCCTTGAACTGCTAATATAGAAATTAATTCTCCATTATATAAAATATATACCCTATAACGTATTACAATCTGTTAAAGAATAAAATCAACAAGCTGATATTCCGCAAACCGTCGATAATCAAACTTCTAAATGACATATTGAAATGCAAAATGCACACATTAATAGTGGTTTACATCTGTATGGGACAACTTTTAATGGAGTTTACAACTTGCTGACGTTAATATGAGATTTTAACGTAATATGACTGTGTAATTGGACAAGTCGATATGAACAATAGATAAGTTCAAATCCCTTTTAATAGTATGCTAATTGTTACAAATGTTTCCGCTATTTAGATTTTTATCTAGTAGTAGTTTGTGGTTATTTTTGGATTTTTATCTAGTAGTAGTAGTTTAGCACTGGTTGGTAAACAGTGCATAAATAAATAAAATGAAAACGAATTTATAATGAATTTAAACCGTTCTTTATTCTTATCAAACGTTACGCTTTGTGTAAGTGAAAAAGAAAATTTGCTTTCAAGCCGTGTTTCAAGCTCAAGCAACTTCCTGCATTTATTGTTACATTTATCAATATAATTATTATTTACCTATCGAGTGCTGCTATTTTACAGATACTCCAGTTTTTGGTATTAAAAACAAGACAGTATACAAACTTTATTTGTGGCTAATACAACTCTCTGGCCATAATGTCTCTGGGCACCGAACATTAACTGTAAACTATGGTCTGGGTCAACACTTAATTTCCTCTTTGGGTTTTCCTCCACTTAATTAAAAAAAAACGAAACACAGGTAATAATACAGTCCAAAATGCAAAATGCAAAATATTTATCATTTCTATTTGACATAATTTCACACAAAATTATAACCTATAATTTGGCAAGAGTTTGACAACTCTCAAAAATCTTAAGTCGAGTTCATACACATCGGCGTCGGTTTGTCGTTCATCGTTCCGTTAAACCAATAATATTGCAAGATGATCTGTCATTTTTGAAATAAACCAATATAACTGGTTAAAAACAAGATATGACGCATGACTTATACAGGGTGGTCCGAACTGTATTTCGGTAACTTCGGCAGCATATTCTGCACATAAAAATAAATAAAAAAGTTCGTATAAATGTATGTCCTAAAATGCTTAGTTTTAGAGATACAGGGTGTAGAAGTTTCATTTTTATTTCGATTTTTCCTAAATAATTTCTGAAATTACGTCAATATTTGGATGAAAATTGGTGTCTGGGAGTTTTTTGACAGAGACATTCGATTTTGTTGTCAATATGACTCCTACTAGTAGAGGGCGCCACCTACGTGTGTTTTAACTGTTTGGAAGCGTAATAACTTTTTGTCAGTACCTGTATAAAACTACTGAGCGAAAAAATATAAATATCTGTGATTTTTTACATAAAAAATATCTCTTTGTAAAAATCGCTACGAGCAACCGTTCTTAAGATATTTAGAATGGAAATAGTAAATACATGTCATTATTGACGAAAAATAAACACGTTGAGTGGATAGTTATTTCACTGAAATAATAAATTTGGGAAATTTTTATTTTTTTAAATTAATCATAAATTTTTCTGCAAAAAATGGTGATAAAACAGTTTCTGTTGAACATTAGGCACAAAAACATTTCAAATTTATGATTTGAGTCTAATAACTATTTAGTCAACATGTTTAATTTATGTCAATGGTGACTGGTATTGATAATTCCTTTTCCAAATATCTCGAAAATAATTACTCGTAACGGTTTTTACCAAGAGACCTTTTTCACGTAAAAAACGTCGTAAATGTATATTTTTTACTCAGTAGTTTTATACAGGTACAGACGAAAAGTTATTACTCTTCAAACTCTACTAGTAGGAGTCATATTGACATCAAAATAAAATTTCTCATGTCAAAAAACTCCCAGACACCAATTTTCATCTAAATCAATATCGTCAATACGTTACTTCAGAAATTATTTGGAAATAATCGAAATAAAAATGAAATTTCTACACCCTGTATCTTCGAAACTAAGCATTTTAGGATATACGTTTATACGAACTTTTTTACTTATTTTTATCTGCAGAATATGTTGCCGAAGTTTCCGGAATACAGTTCGGACCACCCTGTATATAAACCCATCCATAGTTAACTTAAAAAATATTAGAAACTTTTTTTTAATTCAATAAATGGATTGGTATGAACGTCATCTGCTTTTTTCTGTCTATCGAACTCTTACCTGAAAAAAAAAACAGAGTATTGGGTCGCGATAGTTGCAAGAATAGCGCCAAATAGTGTGTACATTGTCCTTATGGGCACTTTCCAATCTAAACTTGTTTCATTTATCTATGTACAAAAATTTGAAGGTACCAAATAGAGCAATTTTGTATAAAATAATTATGATTTTCACAGGATACATTAAAATACGCAACCAACCGTCCAATCAGATGAAAGAGGTACGTACCCTATCGTTGGGTATTGTGCAATCACGTGATGCTCATGTCGTATGACGGTTAAATCTTTGGTTAGAATTTTTGTTATTGTTTTTACCTGTTTTTACAGTTTTTACTTTATTTTTCTATTTACATCAGATTTATATTTTGTAATTGCCTATCAGACAATACGTATTTAGAAAAATAATAGGAATTAGGATCGTGTTTTTTTTTAAATCCTGGATATTAATTGGAACCCTTGATAACATTACTGCTTTTGATATAAAGTGCATTTTTGATTATTTACTTGGGCTAGGATATTAAAATATCGGTTGGATTGTACGACATAAATAGATGTAGGTATGATCTTTGGTATGATTATTTATATATATATATATATGTATGTATTTATAAAGCTTACTATCTGTTTTGCATTTTCAGTTTTTGATCAGACATTTCATTTTATTTGTGAAATGCCCACAAAAAAGCTTCCCATGATTCAACATCAGTGTGTTTGCTGCATAATGGATCATTCCTGCGGAATTTTTAGATCATTTGAAGACTACACGGAAAAAACCAGATAATATGTTACATTTTCGTAGAAATTGATAGCGAGACAATTTTATAGGCAAGTGTTAACATTATTCGAGGCACCATCAAAGAAAGCAATAATAATATGCTTAGTCCCAGAGATATTACAGCTTAGTTATTTTGCCCTACAGGAGAAAAACCAGAGTAGTTCACTCGTAATTGCATTTTCTCGGCTCCAGTTAAAATGAACAAAGCTGGTTTTTCCTGTGGTCTTCATTTGAAATAACGTAAATAAATGTTTATACATATGTATGTGATGATTAAATTGGTGTTAAGGAAATAAAAATGTTTTTCGATATTAATATATACCTATATATGTATATTTATTTTGAAATAAATTACACTTTTAACAGTTTAATGGAGTTTTTAAAGCCAGTTATAATATTTATATTTTAAAAACTTGAAATCATGTGGATGTAATCACGCATTAAACCACAGACTAACTTATATAAGTCAAAAAGTAGATTTTAGTGTTAACTTTATATAACTTGTAAGTAAAATAATAAATAAAACAAATATGAAAAAACCAACAATTCTAATGTATATATTAAAATACAGTACAATAATAGGTATCTGATACCCTCACTTAACGTAGAATAATATTCTACCCAACTCAATACTATGTCCAACATGAGTTTCAAATATATCGGGCCCTAATCGTTCCTGAAAATAATATTTTTTTACATTGTTATACCATATTCTAAACTATTTAATATTTCAGTCACTTAAAAAGTTAATTTGTATTGAATAATTGTCTACCATTAAAGCAAATTTGGACTAGTATTTTTAATGGGCATATTCTGTGTATGGATATAGGTACTTCCTCCAGATTTTGGGTTCAACCAATTTATTCTTAAAACCTGAAACATCTACGTATAAAAAATAGACAGGTTACTAATTATAATAAAATTTACCCTTAGAATTATACTTCTTTAACAAATAATTTCCATTGGTATACTTTTCCATGACAAGTAATCAACTTCCTAACATTTTTTAATTGATGTAATACTTCCTCATGATACGAAAAGAAAATCTTTTCTTTAGCACACAAAGGACGAACGATATGTTGGCTTACTTTCAGATTAGTTACTTTTCCATAGATATCCTCATGTCAATTCAAATACGATGGACATGAAAATGATCATCACATGAAACATCACAAACTAAAAACCTAATAAACAAGTTTATATCGAATATAGAAATAAATTTAGTGTTCTTACCTATTGTCGTCCAAATCCACGTTAATAGATAATTAATTTTTTGGATTTTTATCTTTTATTTTTAAATATATCTTTCGAACTACTGGTTTTAGTAATTATTAAATTAAACGAACTAAAAAGTCAAAAATAATAAACAATTCTCTTGTCAATTGTCAATTTTCTCCAGGCACCGAACATTATCGATAACGCACGATCTACGACGATTACTCCTTTGATCTGATTGGACGGTTCAATGACGGTTGGTTGCGTATTTTAATGTATCCTGATTTTCACAACTTCTGAAAAAGTTACGATGGTTAAACAGCATTTTGCTGGATATGGTGGCATTTTTAGTGTTAGATATGTTTGTAGCTCAGTCTCCGGAAAGCCTAGACAACGAATATACCCAATAAAGCCTAATAACGCCTAATAACGAATAAATTTTAATTTTCATGCATCTGTTATACGTTGATACGATGGTCCGACGGTGCTCTGATTGGTCATAGCGTTTTCGCGCCACTTTTCATCCGTAAATATTTTACTTCAGCCCGTTAACGGATTCGTTCATACGATAACGGAGGTTTTGACACTTTTTTGACAAATTTAATCTAACCTTAATAAAAATATAAGTAAAATAGCAAAATCGTTATGGAAACGAAAATATAAAATAACACTAACGTATATCCGATAAACGGAGGCATGCAAATGCAATAAATTTAAAAACTGCGTTATTTTCTAACCAATCAAAGGTAGAAAGTTTCTTCCTTCCTGTTGAAATTATTTGGATGTTTGTGAATTTCAACAGCTTCCCTGACCAGACGAGAATGATATCCAGATGTTGTGGCAATGACTTGGGTGTCTTCGAATTGGATTTTGTGGTCACCATCTCTTAGAGCATGTTCTGCTACGGCTGACTTCTCTGTTTACCCTAATCTGCAGTTTCTCATGTGTTCCGTAAGTCTCGTTCCTACTGAGGGTTTGGTAGTTCCAATATATACGCTACCGCAGGAACAAGGTATACGGTAGATCCCTGCAGAGGATAATGGTTCTCTTTTGTCTTTGGCTGGTCTTAAGCAGTCCCTTATTTTCCGGGTAGGTTTGTATATGGTTTTGATGTTATGCTTCTTGAGAACTTTACCAACGTGACCTGGGAAACATATGGAAGGAAGGCCTTATTAATAATGTTTTCCTGTTCATTGACGTCAGGTCTCCTCTGCCTAGGTGCCAGCGCCGCCTTTATTTCTCTGTCATTATAGCCATTGACAAGAAAGGCTTTATTTAAATTGCTTAGTTCCTCTTGGATGTGTTCATTAGCACAGATACGCCTTCCCCTATTTGCTAATATTCCAATAATCCCCTGTTTTTGGCTTGGTTGGTGATTTGATAGTTTGTGTAAGTACGGGTGTGTATGAGTGGGTTTTCGATACACCGTGTGATCCAAAAGAGCACTAAAACCCACATTCAAAAGAATAACTTTAGATATTTTTGATTAGCCCGTTTACGAGTTATCACCGATTTCTTTTTAAATATTTCTCCTTTCTTATGGCCCTGTATTTACTTATGAGCATCAGTCAAGGTAAAAGATAACCAAACCAAACCAAACTGTCAAAAGTTGTCATTTCAGAAATTTATCTATTTAGTGCTTTTATCTATTATTATTATTAAAAACTCATACCTACATCGAAAATATTAGCCATGAATTACACTACCGAAGAAAAAGTATTGATGATTACATGGTATTATCAAGGAAATAGTTATCAAAAGGTGTCGGACATGTTTGCTGCTCTGTATCCGAATAGACCGATACCTGGAAAATCTACAATCGCAAGGAATATCCAGAGATTTGAGACCAAAGGTACCCTAATAAATAACTGCAGATGTGAAGCAAGGCAGGAACAAAGAGAAGATGCAAGAAATGATACCGACTTGGAAGTTTTATTGTGCGTGGAAGAGAACGATGGAAAGATCAGCACAAGGAAACTTGAGGATGAAATAGGAATAGATCACACTACAGCGTTTCGAATTTTGAAACGACATAAATACTATTCCTTCAAATATGAAAAGCACCAAGAGCTACGAAATGGGGACGAAATACGGCGGCAGGCGTTTTGTTTTGATGATGGAAAGAGCAAACACGGGTAGGGAATTTTTAAAAAACATATGTTTTACTGACGAATGCACGTTTACCTTAAATAATGAACCCAATGTTCAAAATTATCGATATTGGAACAAAGAAAACCAACACAGGTTTGTCGAAACAAGGACGCAATATCCACAGAAAGTATATGTTTAGACACAATATTATCGGGCCATTATTTCTTATGCGAAATTTAAATGCAGAATATTATTTGGAACTACTCGAAAATCATATTTTACCTGCTTTACATGATGCCGCTAGGGAAAATCAGGAAGTTTGGTACCAAATGGATGGCTGCCCGGCACATAGTACCCTGGCTGTCCGGAAATATTTAGACAATAGTTTTAACGGAAACGTTATTGGCCTAAATCGTACAGTAAATTGGCCAGCAAGGTCTCCTGATATTTCGCCAAATGATTTCTTTCTCTGGGGCCATTTAAAAAAACAGGATATACAAGGATAAAAATACCCAAATCTAGACAAGTTAAAAAAACTATTTCTGCCGAATGCAATAGAATTTCAGTTTACCAACTAGCGAATGTAAGAAGAGAATTTTATGATCGCCTGGGTTATTGTCTAGCAGTCGATGGAGGAATATTTGAACATTTTCTTAAATCCTAAAGTTCTAACAATTTAATAGTACCTAAATTAATAAGTTATTAAATATTGTAATAATACAATAATTAACCTTGTAATTGAACACTTTATTTCACTTTAATTCATATTAATTTGTATTTATAAATACATCTTTAAGATTTCCGATGTAGGAATGCGTTTTCAATAATATTAAAGCACTAAGTAGGTAAATTTCTGAAATGAAAACTTCATTTGACAGTTATCTTTTACCTTGACTGGTGCTTATAAGTAAATACAGGGCCATAAGAAAGGAGAAATATTTAAAAAGAAATCGGCGATAACTCGTAAACGTGCTAATCAAAAATATCTAAAGTTATTCTTTTGAATGTGGGTTTTAGTGCTCTTCAATAAACCTAAATAGAATTATTCTCTAAAATAATTAGGGAAGCCAATAATTGACCCCATTAAAATTTACATGGGATTTCCTATGTCCCGCTCGACGATGCAACACCCGGTAGACATTTTGTATCACTCTTTGCCCTTTAACTCTATATTCGTTTGAAAAGGGGTTAAATTAGTTTATAATGACATCCTAATAATACTTTATTCAATAGATTGCTATTCTGTCAATTTCAGTAACAAACTGCGGAAACTTCCATAGTTACGGTTTAAGACTCTATTATACTGTATGTCATGCATCTAATTGAAATTTATTATGCCAACAAATTTCAGCAGTCAACATGCGAATGGGGTGATGTAATGCCATCATATCTAGAGAAGATTGATTTCCTTATGAAATAGCTAGTCCTCTCAAAATACGTAAGAATATCAATTATATTTTAATGTTTAATTAGTCAAATGATTTTAATTTTATTATTAGAAATTGTGAGAGATCAGTATTTGTGTTTCAGTTGACTATACTCTGTTTTTTTCTCATGTAAGATTTCGACAGACGATGACAGAAAAAAAGCAGATGACGTCCCATACCAATCTATTTATTTTACTAAAAAAAGTTTCTAATAATTTTTAAGTTAACTATGGAGGGGTTTAAATATAAATCCGTCATGCGTCGTCTCTTGTTGTTTTTAACCAGTTTTATTGGTTTATTTCAAAAATGACAGATCGTATTTCAATTTTATTGGTTTGACGGAACGATGATCGACAAACGGACGCCGATGCGTATGAACTCGCCTTTAGTTTTGACGCTTGTCAAAGTCTTGCCAAATTAGAGGTTATAATTTTGTGTCAACTTTTGTCAGTTTTGTCAAATACCCTGCGTTTTTGAAGATGATGCATTTTGATTCGTGTTATGACGTGTGTTTTGTGTCTTTTGAAGTCAAGTGAAGGAAAAATCGAGTGAAAATTAACTGTAGACCCAGACCCAGAGCACAGTTTATGGTTAATACTCGCTGCCCAGGCAAAAAGTCTTATACACCAATAAAGTTACCGTCATTAAAGTTCGTATACCATCTCGTCGTAGATAAGTGCATCTCGAATATGGTAGAAGGAGCATACTAAACACATACTAAAAACTGGAGTAGCTGTAAAATATCGACATCACACGATACGTAAATAATGGATTTTAGTACTGCACAAGAAAAATAATGCCAAAGGTACTGGTTTAAAAAATTAAGATTAAAGTTAATTAATCAACCTTTAAGGTACCCATAAAATTTGGTTGTGAAGTGTTATTAATAATAAAATAGTTTGTTTTATTTATGTTGTTTTATTTATTCCTGCGGAATATTACAAATTTGTATTTGTACATAAGTTATATTGATAAATATAATCATAAATGCGGGAAGCTTCATAAAGCTTGAAAGTGAGAAATAGTTCTTTTTTATATTTTTTTGGTATGTGGTGCCTTGTTCTTGTTTGTTTTGTATTAACACATACCGTTTTTTATTAAATTAAATAACTGGATTACATTTTTTCAGTTTTATACAGTTTTTTTCACAATATTTTGAAGTAATCACTTGTCAGTCAAATTTTAAATATAATAATTTCCTGCTATGCGTTCCAGTTGTACCAACTTATTTCTTTGTAAAATAAAATAAACTACTTTGAAATTAAAATGACAGACACATCTATCACTGTCAAGGATCTTCTCGTTGGACAGACTATATGCAGGGTTATTCATGCTATTCCACGAGCAGTATTGTAGCTAAACGATTACATTTTTTTTAAATTATAAATGCTGGTGACGTTAAAGAGAGCTATAATTTAAAATATTTTCAAAAGGTACAGTGTGTTCCAAATAAACAAAAAATACGAAAGTTATATTTTTAAGGGAACACCCTGTAAATTAATAATATCGTTGAGGTTGGACAGCAAATAATATAGCTCATTACAATAGGAAAATTGTAACAGTTAAATTTCATCGCTACGACCACTGTGTGCTAGCTCATAAATTATCGCAAATAACTATTATTTTTGCATCATGTTTTCTATAATTTTATTGTTAAATATTATTTTATTTGGTATTTTACGATTATGCAACCGAATATACACCGCGATATTATACAGCTACAGCTACACATTGTCACTGGATGCAGTAGGATTTTTGTCCC